TTGTTAATTTTCATAGACACGTTTCTTTTGCCTGGCAGGTGAATTGCAATGATGACAAAGGGGTGTTGCTGGGAAAATGGACAGGTGACTATGAAGGAGGCGTCAGCCCCATGTTATGGAGGGGAAGTGTGGAAATCCTGCGCAACTGGGACACACAAGCCTGTCAGCCTGTTCGCTATGGACAGTGCTGGGTGTTTGCTGCAGTGGCCTGCTCAGGTAAGATAGCACAGAGCCAGGCTTGGTAGCCTATCTCTAAAAACCGCTTGCTTAGACTCAAGCAGACAAAACATTATATCCTACATATAAGCACATATTTATGATATGCATTTTGTTCATCTTTTAAATATGATAATACTTAAGTTATTGTTAAACCTTGTCAGTTTCCAGGGCCCTGGGCATCCCCTGCCGACTTGTAACCAACTATCTGTCTGCACATGACACCAACAGCAACCTGGTGATTGAACGCTATGTCAATGAAAATGGAGAACTCCTTCAATCCAAAGAAATGATCTGGTGAGAACTCTTTTAAGTTGACTCACAAATGGTGGGACAGCTCACAGATTCAATTTAAACCACTGACTATCTTGAAATGAGAGAATCCACAGGCTATACTCAGCGTGAATCTGTTGTGTCATGGGGCAAGTGTGAAGACCTGAGTTACTTTGGTTAGGGCAGCTGGGTCTGGAGTAATGAAGAGGTGTGGCAAGGGTGGCCATAATGTTTTTGCATGTGATGCATGGTTGTAATACATATGACCATGCAGTATGTTTCTATTATGCTATCCATTTTATGGTATGCATTGTATCTACAGGAACTATCACTGCTGGGTAGAGAACTGGATGACTAGACCTGACCTTAAACCTGACTTTAATGGTTGGCAGGCCTATGACCCCACGCCTCAGGAGAAGAGTGAAGGTAAGAAAGACTGTCCATCTAAAGCATGTTGTTTTATCAAGTAACGTGCTCACTGTGTCTTTCCCCCCGTTTCCCTCAGGGGTGTACTGCTGTGGCCCCACCCCTGTCAGAGCCATTAAGGAAGGTGAGCTCACGTTCAAGTACGATGCCCCCTTTGTCTTTGCTGAGGTCAATGCTGATGTGATCACATTCATGAAGAAGAAGGATGGCAGCACATCGAAAGTTTCTTCCAATGCACTCGTTGGCCAAAAGATCAGCACCAAGAGTGTGGGCAGTGATGCCAGAGAGGACATCACTCATCTCTACAAATACCCTGAAGGTAGATCAAACTTTTAGCACTCCAGCTGAATCAAATAAGTTCTTTCTCTTTTGAAAAAAATAGATATTTACCCAAGATGTACTATTTAAACACTTGTTTGCAATGCAAAGAGGGATTTACCATTCACGCCTCATCCAACATGGTCTCACATGTTTGCATTCATTGCACTTTTGCCCAGTTTTTCACACACCGTAAGTGTGCGTGGAAATCATTCCCTCATACCTGTAGGTAAAACCAGGGTCACTTTCTAGCTACATTCCTGAATTGCTTATCAGTGTTTGCATTCCCCCTATTGTACATAAAGTCAACTCAGAACACCCTTAGGCTCATTTACTCCTACACACACTTTATCACTTTGGTTCAAATATACTGTAGAAATGGATTATACAGCATGGCAAGGCATATGGGCCGAGGCTTCTATTATTTAAGCCATGATGTCGCTTCAATACTCACAGGATCTGCTGAAGAGCGGGAGGCTTTTAAGAAAGCTGACCATCAAAACAAGCTGCTCCAGCAGCAACAGAATCAAGGCCTGCACCTCAATATCAAGGTGACATCAGATATGAGGAAGGGCTGTGACTTTGATGTGTTTGCTGTGGTTACTAACAACACACAAAGTGAGAAGAAGTGCCGCCTGTTGTTTGGATCCTGCGCGCTGTCCTATAATGGGTTTATGGGAGGGAACTGCGGCTTCAAAGATCTACTCAATGTTGAGCTTTCCCCTGGAGGAGGTAAGTAAGCTCACCGCTGATAGAGAACGTTAGTACAGACTTTTCTTTTCACTGTAAGTTTAAAATATAATGTCTACATCCTTCCAGAGAGGAAAGTTCCACTAAGGCTGAACTACTCCAAATACGGTGGTCAGATCACTGAGGACAACCTAATCCGTCTGGCAGCTCTGCTGCTGGACTATACCACTGGAGATACAACACTGGCAGTGAGAAATGTTGTACTGGACAACCCTGAAATCAAAGTCAGGGTGAGTAGCAAGATATGTGACAAAATACAAACTTTTGGGGTCTTTAAAACCCAGAAGTGACCTGAACAAATATAACCAATGTCATGCATGATTGTTATGAGATAAGCAGCATCATGAGCTTCATCTGAGAGTGATCATAATTTTTGGCCTGTTTCTGAACAGATCCTGGGAGAACCAAAGGAGAATCGGAAGCTGGCTGCAGAGATCACCCTTCAAAACCCTCTGCCAGAGAGACTGGAGAACTGCTGCTTCAGCATCGAAGGGGCCAACCTGACAGGGGGAGGCATCATTACTGAGAGGTCATTAAGCCATTAAGATATTTGTCTTTTTTCAAGACAACCTTTTAAAAATTATTACTGTCTGTAATGGAAATGTTACTTCCCAATTTGAATTATGAGATTTGTGTCATATTGTTTCACGTTTTGCTGCCAAGTCTCCGTTCAGCACCCGAATGTCTGGCTGAATGTGCTGCTGTTTAGTCAGGACAGGAGGTCACTGGAGCAGGCAGGAGAGAAAATAAATTACCAAATGGATTCCTTATGATTGCTCAACAGAAGAAGATAGGAGGAGTATCTCCTCATTGAGTGTTTGAACAGTGTCCAATAATTTACTTTACATAAATCCAGCTTTGTGTTTCTGACTCCATGACTGATGAGCAATGTGCCTGCTATTTTTTTTTTACCACGACTATGTTTAGCCAAACTCTTCAGAGCAATTCAAACACTTCAACTCCAACTGCACCATTGCCATAAATAGTCACAAGTATCATGGTTTGTTTGACAGCAGGAATTATTGAAATGTCTATGCAATCACAGGACTGTGATATAAACCTTCTGGTGTTGCCTCAAAAGTAATATTTAAACTTTTTTCCTGCAGGCTGGGACCAGTGGGACCTGGTGAAGATGCCAAGGTGAAAATCTACTTCACACCCACCCATTCTGGACTGAGAAAGCTGGTGGTTGACTTCGACAGTAACAAGCTGTGTCATGTCAAGGGCTACAGAAACGTGATTATTGGGAAATAAAGCCTTTCAATGTCCGTAATCCATTAAATGGAATTATTCTTACTCTTTTTTTCAGACCAGGCATTTAAAGATTAGACAATGAATCGAGTTTAGTGCCTTTCTGCTCCAGTGCTTTCTTACTGTCTCCTCTCTTGTTTATTAGGGATTACTATGTGGATATATACTTTAGTCTGAGCCCAATTTTTTTTTTTACTGTGATTTATGAATGCTTTGTACTCACCGATGCCAGCCACAGTCTGATGATTTTAGGTATTATGTGTTATTTGACAAAATTAAAAATCTTGTTTGCCAGTCAGTAACAGCCTTTGTTTCCACGTGACTGAGAATGCAATGTGTAGGTTTTTGTTTGCGTATTGTATGACAGTCAACACATTTGGACTAACTACAGCAAAGGCAATATGGAGGAGCTGTGTTTATGATGCTTTTTCTCTTGTTTATATACAGTAAATATTTCCCTGGCTAATCACAGCCAATCCTGAATATTTTATTTTACTCATGGGATCCATTTCCACATGCACACTGTGACTCTGCAAATATTCCTTTTATGGTAGCATCTCTGTCCCTAGTAAACATGCTGGCATTAGTTCCCCGTATGTACTGAGATTACAAATGAATACTTCAAACACACTTTTGTCTCCTAACACATTACATCATTTAATGACCCTCTGTTATTACTGCAATGAAAGCTTTACTTAAAACAAGGATCATCATAATCTCCTCTCACTTATAAATCCTTCATCACTGATTATACTCAGACTGAGCTGTGGAATATTCTGCAAGTTACTACATGCCAGTTTCCTTTATATTCTTTTCTCAATTCCTCTGTAGTCAGAGAGACAAAAAAAGACAGTTGATTAACTTAAAAAAAAATGCATATCTGCTTTTTCAGCCCCATTTCTCATGCACCTCTTTTTCCATGTCTACTTAGGCTCCTGTAGCTGAGCTCTCTGGCACCTGTTCCCTTTCATCTGCCTCTCACGGCTCCAGTGTTTGTCCTCCAAATACTTCTAAATGAGCAGAGAGGGCTCTAGCTTTATGACACAATTATCAATTATCATTGTATTAGACAGCTGCAGATCACAGTGCTGAACTGGAACACAGCCACAGACCTGTAAAGCTTATTCACCATTTAACAGTGCAAGATACCACAGATATATCTCAAATATGCTACAAGCTCATATCACGAGCAGGCTGAACTCTTTAATTTGTGCCGTGCATTTAAAGAAAGCATCAGTATTCCTGTTTTTTTCTTCCCTCTAAAGGCACGAGTGCATGGAAGTGTCTCTGCATGTTTGTGACTTACTGCATTTCAAAGCTTGGAGGAAGCAGTGCTCTCTGCTGGTCAGGGAGATAAACTGTTAAGAAAAAGAAAGCCTGCAAAGCTTTTGAAGAATGCACTGTTTGTGTTGCACAGTAGCTGGCAGCACAACACAATCTGTCAGCCATTTGTGGCAGCTCGGAATATAATACAATGCACGGGGAAAATCCTTTGTTTATCCCGTCTACAAATGTGTCAGCTTACACACCGTAAAACGTGACTGTATGCTCCAAAAGCACATAACACAATTCACCACTCAAGAACACGACTTACCTATAATCTTACAAACATGCAGAGTGATTAGTGTGCAGTAAACATACCATATAACTGATATAAAGAATTTAAAGCATCACTGGATCTCACGAGTAGTCAGTCTGCACACCTTGAAATGTATTTAAATTACCGTAAAACTTTATTTGATCAAACACAAGACGGAAGACCAGAATCACAGAATCAAATTTATAATTTAAAATGAAAGCATTTAACACAACAGTAGCAACGGGGCAAACACAGTCGAGGAGTGATTTGGGGAAAAAACAAAACAAAGGGTATCTTTGTTCAGAAAACTAGGACAAAATTTTAGTGTGATTTACGTACTAGCTGAGGTTTGCAATATTTGATTGGCACTGACTAACTTTGTGAAACAATAAAAGTATACAGTGCAAATAAGTGAATACACAAGAACAGATATCTCATCTCGATGTGACGAGGGCGTACACTTGCATTGTTACAGACATACTAGTTATGGTTAGAAAGCTAAATATACACTTTGCCCTTAAGGCGCCAAAAAACAAGGACTACACGATTTAAAACCAATGCACGGAAAAGTTTTCAGATAATGAAAAAAGTGTAAAATTATTCAGTTTTTTCTTACAAAGCATTCGTACTGAAATACTGCAGCTTTCAGCACACGTTTTGGTAAAAGACAATAGAAGTGGCACACTGCATCGTCTGTCTGTATCTTGGGCCTACAATAATAACATAAAACTTTGTCATTACAGCCTTACTGTCACATTATGGTAAACTTAATGCACAGAAATGAAGTCAATCAGATGTACTGTCAGTAAAACCATGAACAATCAAACCATGAAACACAAAGGGTCTCAGCCGTGTGATAAATTAAGTGTGCTGATGAGTGTCCCTCTTTACAGAGTGAAGTCATGCAAAGTGCCGGGCACATGGCTCGTTTTAAAGCACACAGGTCTCGTCACAGTCAGATTGATGGGGCAAGTGTGGGTGACTGCCCTGCGACTTATACTGGACACCCTCTGATCCCTGACTTCTCTCGGGCTTCACCTGGAGGTAGGCCCGGACGCGGTGGTGCTGCGCCACAGCACCGCTGTAGTCGATCACGCGGCACTCGTACGTGCCCTCGTCTGTTGGTTTGACGCTGGAGAGACGGAGTTTGTGGGAGATGTTACTACCGGCCACTTTCACCACCTAATGAGCAGAAAAGATCAAGTTTTCTTGTTTATGTTTAGTTTGGTGAAATGTCAAAAGAGCATCTATCAAGAAATGGAAATGAGTGTTACAAGAGTGTGATTTCTTACATGTCCATAATCGTGATTGATAATGCCTTTAATCAAACATGACTTTTCTAGGTGACAGCTGATTGATACCACATCAAACTTACACTAATTTTAGTGGCACCTCTGACAGTCTCCTCCAAAGGTACGACCTGCACGGAAATACGGATGAAAAGTTAACAGCAGAAAGCGACTGAGGCAGGTTTTTCAAAAAAAATAAATAGATCTCATTCTTAGCAGCATCTCACTGGAGGAACAGGAACAAACACGACTGATGTATCAGTATTTTTTCTTTTAAAGCAAAGGATTACTTGTTTGGATTGCTTTTCTGATGTGTTTACCTTGTTCTCCTTGTTCTCGTCTAGCTGAGGTTTATACGTGTGTGTGTGTTCAAATGTGCATGCACAAGAACACACTCCACAGTGCCAAGCATGTAAGCCTGTGAGCAGGAGAGTTTGCGTGATTGGGTATGCAGAGGCACAGAGGTATTCTTTTGGGCATAGGTATGAATTATGCATGGAGCAGAAAGAGATTTTGAAAATCTATTTCTTTCTCAGCACCAATTATAGTGTCTAGAGGCACAACAGGGGAGCTCGAGTCCCCCCATGATGGGAGAGAGTCAACCTGTTCCCCCAGTGCTGGCAAATGCTAATCAGCAATTATACCTTGGTTTCCATGCAAGAGGGTTTGTGCCACTGCATTTCCCTTTGACTGATATTCAGTAAGCTTTGGGTTTAGTCCAAGTGGACGTGCCATAAGAAACTGTGTAAAATCTGAAAAAGTGAATGTTAAAATGGATGTTCAGCAATAAAAAAAGTGTACAGTGATTAAGGTTGCAAGAAATGATTTATATAATCTTTGCTTTGTTCTGGATGTGTTGCAATATCAGTTATATATGTACTATTTTGATCCATCTAGTATTTTTTGGAGCCATGAAATAATTTCTAGCTATTTCAGCTGTTAATTCACTACTTTTAAGCTAAAGCAGCCCTGTTTCATCTGTAATTGGAATTAAGATATATATTTTTAACAAATATTTTCTTGTTTAAAGTTAAATATAGGATGGTTGAGTTTAAGTTTGCTGAGGTATTACAGGAGTTTTTCACCTTCACTGGGCTACAGGTGACTCCATCAAGAAATCACTGTACATATACAATAAAGGAACTTCCATTACAGCTGCTTACATTATTAGTGATATAGGGAGGCTTCTCTTGCCACTCTCTATAGTCCTTGATATACCACCACTGGATCTCCAGGGAGTAGGACGGAGAGCCCGCCCCACGGAAGGAACAGGCCATCTCTACATCCTCACCACTGTGTGTCGTGATGTCGTGTGGGACCTCTGTAAACAGTGCTGCAACAGAGAGACAGAGACAGAGAGAGATGGGCTTAAAAGGACAGAAACATTATTTGTCAAAGAGCCTTGTGACAATGTGGCATTACTGCATCACACTCATACATGAGAAAAACTGTAAGCCAAGGACACAGTGTTGGAACTTAAATAAAAATAAAAATAAGGATTCAGGAAAGAGTGGTGTATTCAACCAACCAAGCAATGATTTTATACCGTAGGTCTGTTTGCACTGCAGGATGATAACAGTCATGATCAGGTTGGTGGTAATCAATCAGTTCCTGAATTTGTCTCAGTTTGCTTGGGATGCTCATAGAAACAAACGTGAGGCACAAATAGAAATCTAAAAATGAAACAAAATAAAACACATACACAGCAAAAAGTTGAATACTAAATAAATTAAACCAGTTAGTTAACCAAGGAATACTAAAAAAAAAAAAGAGTGTAGAAGTGAAATATTTTCAGCTGGTTATAGCTGCTCTAAACTGACAAGGAAAAAATACAGAAGAGGGATCATGCTCTCTTATGTTTGGGCTAAAGTAAAAGCAATCAATGCAGCAAACTGACAATTCAATTAGCTTTTCTTTAGATATCAGTGTGCTTTTCAGTTGTTTTGAGTGCATTAATAAAACTGATTATATTATAGGTAAAGCTGACCTACCTAAAGGCTGTGGAGACAATAATTAGGGAATACCTTTTGCATCACAAGCCCACACACGTCTGAGATGTGACAAATGAAGCCCGACTGCAGCAGTGATGGATTTTAAGAACTCATTGTCAATGACTGATAATTTCAATTAAATAAAATTCATTAAATTTGAAAACTTTGACTTATTAGAAGTTACTACATTACTCAGACCTTATACACAGTAATGTGTATAAGGTCTGAGCAGACAAAAACATACTGAACCCAATCAGTGTAACACAAAATTAGATTTATGCAGCTTTAGAAATTAAATCAATACCAATGCAATTTTGAGGTTACAACCATGAAATGTAATCTAATTTCAGTCAGCTCAATGTTGTGCTGGCAGCGCATTGGCCATTAAAATTAGAATATAATTAATATGCTCCAGAGTAAAAGTATAATGCACATAAAGCATCACAGGTGATGTGTATTGATCACATGTAAATGTACAGTTCAACATTCACTCTTCCTGTAGCTCTGTTTTGGTTTCTGCCATCACCTGGCAAAACTGTAAAACAAAAGGAAAGGTACTGAAAAACCCATCGCTCTTTGAAGAGCAATAAGGACAAAAGCCATATAGACTATCAGGTAATATTTTAAGTCTTATCGAGAAAATAACAATCTTTCAGAAAAGTGAGTAAGAGAGGAGTTTTTATTATTTGAAACTGATATTCACTCTGCTTTCTGCAAAGATGAAAAGTAGGCTTGATGGGGGAAAAAAGCTGAGAATAGGCAAGCAGAGAGAGGCTTTAGTGCCACTGGACAGACTCCTAAAGCCTCTGTGCCCTTGCACTGCTGCGGTGCAGCCAGGCAGTGGCCTCATTTGTCAGGAGGAGACCTGCTGTAGTTTTGAGACTCTCCGGGGCCAAAAGAGAAAAAGGCAGAAAAGTAGGATAGACACCGGACACTTTGTGACTAAGTTATCTGGTCTGCATGCAAATGTGCAACAGTGTAATCTTGTTTGAACACTTTTTTTTTATCCATTTTCCCCAACTATGCATTCAATTTACATACAATTGTAACATTTTTTCATAGGGACACAATATCTCGATATCTGATACACTTTAAAAAGACTCTAGAAAAATAGCTACATAAATAACAAATAAATGAAAAGCATGTGTTCTGCCAGTAATGATGCTATGAGTAAGTGGAAACCTGAGGTTTAAATGGTCACTTAAAGAGGAAAGAGCTCACTGCAGAGAGAAGCAAGAAAAGCAAAGACTTACAGTGCACACGTGAGAAACGGAGAATTTTCATTAATGCTCATTTTACTACAAAAAAAGCTCTTTATGTGTTAGGAGTTCTGTCTTCTCTGCAACAGGGGCGAAGCTAAAGGACCAGCACAAACACAAACAAGAGCCACAAACATTACTAGTTTTTCCAAATATTTTAACACTGCCCCCTGGTGACAATCCGCAGCGGCAACTTGCAGACAACAGCCAGCAGAGCCCTGTGTAGCAACAACGCACAACAGTTTTGGTCACCTAAGGGAGTTTACTTCTAATGAAGCTGTGTCGAGAGGCTGTTCTTTGGCACAGAGCAGTTCCGACTTCAACGCTCATATTCAAAAATGACAATCGAAAAAATTACAATAACAAAGACTTTATGCTAATGTTCAACAGTTTTACTGGCATTCAGCACCTCACTTTTGCTTTACCAGAATTAATACTTTAAATGCCATAGCAACTCAATAGTTTTGGAGACTTTTCAGTTTGATTTAAAGAAGTCTGGACTGAAAAAAATGCATTGCAATCCTTACAAAGACTGGTTTCTTGCAGGACTAATGCATTAGTGTATGGGTAGCTTCGTAGCCTTGGATGTCTTATCTCAACACCAAACATATTGGTAAAATAGCTTGTATTGTGTCTCACACGGCCACAGATAATATTGTGTTGCATGGCCCCAAGTGATTTTCTCTATACTGCCCTGCCCTTCAACCACTGCCGTGAATGCAACACATTCAATAGAGACGTTTCCAAAAGGTCCTAACATCCTGCTGTCAGTATTTGCTCAGATAAAAACTGCTTTTACATTGGCAGACCAAAATCATACATATAGACACATTTCCTTTAAGCTTTTGAGAGATCTCCTGAAAGAAATCACTTTAACATTAAAGTACTTAATAAGTTACACTACAATACACTTTATTTATGCTAAAAAAATAACACTTCAGTCACCAAACAACCAAATATTTCTCTACTGTCTACGTTTCATCACAGCCTAACAATCTAACAGTTAAGATGCCGGCAGATAAAAGGGCAGAAACCGCACTTTCTAATGTATGTGTTGGGCAATATTTCGTGTTAAAACAGAGAACATGCAAAAGGTTCAAGGTTTAAAAATACAAACAGTACAACAATACAAAACATGATGACATGATGAAAGACAAACTATGAATAAACCATAAGTTCCTAGCTCAGGTTGAAATGTCACTGTGGATTGCAGAAATAACAGTCTTAACAAAAGATTCACTAGACAACAGCAAATTCTATCTCCTGACATTTTCAATCGGACACTTTCATTGTAATGCAAAAGTAAAATGCCCCCATAAGAAAAGAAACATTTTACAGACATAAATGTCTTTTATTTTAAACTGCCAGCCTTTATAGAACGTTTCGGGGCAGATCAGATGTGCACAGACAGCTAAACAGAAAAACAATAGGAAGTGCAGATCTATGATAAGCAAAAGGAAACAAAAACTGTAAATGTGCACATTTTCTTCAGATTTTTCTGCACAGTAAGCTGCATCTGCTGAGACAATTTCCCGTTGCGCTAACTACCCCTACACTGCCAGTGCAGACTGTAATCACAGCAGGTACAAAGATTAACTGTAACCTGATGGTGCGTGGCTTTCTTGCTAGGAAACCACAATAATTGTTCATTTTGAACAGATCAAGACATTCAGAAATAGCACCTGGGAGAACTTGTGACGACTGTTATAAAGAGAAACATTCCAGAAAATTGTAACATGACAAGGCCGATAACGTCTGGCAAAATAAATAAATAAATATTACAGCCAAGGCATGAAGTTAGAGTAGTTACAGAAATTAGAGACATCTACATATTCTATTCATTCAGCTTTAATAAGACTAAACAAATAATAAGAGAAAAGGAGCAGCTAACCTATTTACTGTCACTCTAGAAGGTGGTGCAAAGATTGACATTTCTGAGAAAAGACATTTTCTTTATGGTTTTATGCCAACGCAGCTACTTTTCATAATACTACAATATGATGCTCTGCAATGAAAAGCACTCTGTAAGAGTATACGTCTCATTATTCAGCAGTGGCAATCTTGCCTCTCAGATCTCTGACGAAGAGCACAGATGTCAGGCAAAACTAATAACAATGTCTTGTTATATTGCGCTTTCAACATATGGTGCTACAACTGAAGCCGGGGAAGGCAGAGAAGTACGTCACGTACAAAACATAAGAGCAAAACAACCAAGGGTGGCATTTCAATCATCTGGGTTTTCTTACTCAATGCAGGTTCTCACACTTTTCTGTCCTCCAGACACAGTATCAACAGCCAGCGGCACAGCACTGCAGCATCTGTCACTTGGAACAGACTGCACTACTGCGGGGGAAAAAAAGGCTGTTTGTGTGCGACATACTGTAGAAAGTAAGAAACACAAAGCAAGTAAGCACAAAAAGGAAGGTATGAAATATCTTTAAAAAATAAAATGTTTCAACATAATAAATTATTAATTGACCAATACAGGAGTATCAAAACCCTTCTGTTAAAAGCACTTGGGGAGATGATCCAACAGAGAACACTGCAAAGGCCAATGGAACCAAAATGTAATAAAAAGGTAAGTGTCCCAAGTAATTAATAATAACAGTTTACAGTTCCACTATTCATTCACTCTCTGGTGGAGGCAAGCTACAGCTGTAGCCACAGCTGCCCTGGGGCAGACTGACAGAAGCGAGGCTGCCATATTGCACCATCGGCCCCTCTGGCCAACACCAGTAGTCAGCTGTAGGTGAACTGTCTTGCCCAAGGACACAACGACCAAGAAAGACAGAGCTGGGGATCGAACCAGCAACCTTCCGGTTACAAGATGAGCTTCCCAACCCCCTGAACCACGGTCGCCTGTGTTTTATGTCTAATTAACACGTAAACACTTTTACATCTTCAAGATTTTAAGTCTTTGCTGAAGAGCATAAGCTGTGAAATTTGGAACGCTTCTATTACATGACACGGCATGATAACATTACTGAATGAGCATGAGTAACATATTAGCTGAAGTAAATAACTTTGTAACATCCTAGATACACCATTGTATTTTGTGTATTTTGTGGTGTTTAGTCTGTTTT